ACACTAATAATGGATCTCTACCTTGGCAAATGCTTCATCCCTTTTCTTCCTCTTGATATTATGGCGCAGCGCACGTGCGACTTTGATTAATAGCTAAAATATTTCTTGTATAAACAATGATACAGTCTTCTTACCCGCAGCGTGATAGCTCGGCGGGAATTTTTGTCTCTGTTTAAACAAAATGAAAAATGGAAATTGACTCCAAACAGTGCAGTCCTGCCGAGCAAAAGTAGATTAAAATTAAGAGATAAAGAGAGTCAAACGAATGAAAGTTTTGGTTCTACTGCTGTGATACGAAATCAGGAACGAAGAATTGCTTATTCGATATTCTGTCTTTTTACCTTCTGCAAGGAAACCACTGCTGGCTATGATACAATCGAAGATGCAATTTCAGATAGTAAATTTCATCTATAAATGGTATGTTGCAGTTCACTTATGGATGCATTTATTACATAGACGCTTCTAGCAATATTTAATTGCTCTAATAATATAGTAGATATACAAGTATTTAATGTACATTTTTGTGAACGTAATTGAAGAATAGGGAACTAACGAATAGAGTGATAGTATAAAGTAATGTTAACGTAATATATTAAATTTTAAACTTTATTTACAACAAATTCATAATTTATCCAAAATTAGATTTGGTTTTTCAAACATTATAAATACTTAAAATGAAAACGATTATTAATTAAAATTTAATACTGAAAAATTAATACCATATATGTTTTGCATTAATCGTTTTCATTGGATATTATGGAAAATAGTTTTAATTATAAAATCTACATAGCTATAATTGTATCACATCTGAAAATTTAATTTTGATCTCTTTTAAATTTAAATTTAAATCTCTCATATGCTTGAAATTAAATATTATATAACATGTAATACATGAACAGTTACAGTTACTGATATGTGCAGTTTAAATTAAGTAAAGATTTATTTTTAAAGATTGCATTTAAATCCGTAAGTAATAAAATAATATGCAATACGTAATTATTAAATCGACGATGAATAATACATATTGACTATATATTAATAATAATATAATTTTGTATTATATTTACCGATAAATTTATTAATATATTTTTTTATATATTTACTGTATTTAGATTAATAAAAGGTATTGAGTTCAAAAGTAAAATAATATTTCTAATAACGGAGCTAATAACAAATACTATATCTGAAAATATAATTTAATTATATTACTGGATACCAATTATAATTTACTTTATATTTTAAAGGTTGAACAACAATATAATAATTGATGAAATAGTCATTTAAATTAAATTAATAAATTTTTCAAATAAAATATCGATTATATCCATGCTTAATTTTAAAAAGTATAAGAATTTCATGTATAACTATTGAGTATTAAAAATTAAAGAACCAGCTGAGGTCCTGTGTGCCTTTGCGCAGTATATTTATTCATGCAAATCTGAGTTTAATAAAGCATCAATTTTTTATAATAAAATTTTTAGAAATAATCCAAGGACTAGATTATTCGATTTCTCCGTACCTACATATTTGTGAAGCATCCTGAAACATGCTACGTATATGGAAGTGCGGAGAAAGATCAACTTCGTTTCGACAGGCCTTGTCGGATGTCGCCTGAAGGATTGTGCAAGCTGTGGCCGTATAACCTCCCAATGTGATGGCGCCCTCAACTCAACAATCCCTCTTTTGCATATACATTCTGTAAGATTACTTTGCGCGGTTTACACCCTTGTGCCTTTGCCTTTAACTCCCTCTTTCTCTCTCCCACTCTTCTTTGCTTTGACTGATATTCTGTTTCTTAAAGCAAGGGCACTGCCGAGTAAACTTTGGCTCGCGGGCGCGTAGAAGTTTCGCAAGAGAACATCCTAATATATGCGTAGCCAAACGAAATTCCGGCTTCGACATGACCGTGTTAAAGCGCGCCCTCGCAAACCAAGCAACTAGAATGTGAAAGGCTTCGTCTTCCAGTTCGACATTTAAATTTAACAAGAATTCTTATTGCTTTTGCACTTATTTTCATATTATCGATTTTTTCTTCACTAAATTATAGCTAATATTTAACGAAAAAAGATTTAACAAATTTATAAAATTTATCATTTTTATGTAACGTAATATTTCGGTAAAGTTAGAAATAACTGGCCAAAATTTACTTTGGTAGGCTTAACTAGGCTTTAAATTTAAATAACAAACAAAAATTATTAAATACATCTCAGTAAATATTAATAAAATTATAACATTATACCTGCCTTTTCTTACAATTTTTATTCTAATATTTAAATTTTATGTATACCATTTTTCAGATATTTTAACAAAGGAAGTAACTCTATGCTTTTACTGTCATGTTACAATTTCGCCTCTAGGTAAAACATACATGATCCTAATTAGCGTAAACACTTGCTAAGAGATGTAGTGTCGAAGGCAATTTATATATTAATATATTATATATTATAAATTATAATATATTATAATAATATATTATATAATATAATATATTATATAATATAATATATTATATAATATAATATATTATATAATATAATATATTATATAATATAATATATTATATAATAAATATATTATATAATATATAATATAATATATTATATAATATAATATATTATATAATATAATATATTATATAATATAATATATTATATAATATAATATATTAATATAAAGGCAATTGCATTTTCCTTATTCCTTTTAAAGTAAATGTTTCGCTGTTTATCGAATACTCACTATTAAGTTTTCTACGTAATAAAATAAATTAAATTAAATATTGCAGCCAAAATAGTTTCAAAAATAAAAGAATCAAAGAAAGAATAAATATTTATAAAATTATAATATTTTACAATTAAATATCAAATTGATACATAGGTAGTTGTTACTTTATACAGAAATATATAATAAAATAAAAAATAACTATTTGGAATATTAGAATACTTTTAATCTCAATATAAAAAATCATTAGTCATATCTTCAAATATCATTTCACTGTAAAGCATTCAAAGATCCATTTTTCATTCTTTCTATATATAAAAAAATTCTTTAAGCTTGTTATACAGATATTAAAACATAACAGGTCTAAAATCTAATTATTTAATGTTTGATACACTCACAACATTACTTCATTATTATAATTCTATTTCCTAGTCCTTTTTTGTGCAAATATTTTATTATTAAAATTGTCTTTATATAAAATTATATATAATTTTTTATTTTGAATAAAGAAATACATTAACAGTAACAATATTATAAATATAACAATTGTAAAAATTTCATTTATTTATCTAGTCTCATTCCATCTTCTGAAAGAGAAATATTACGTAACTAACAGTTAAAAACTATAGTAGATTAAAGCATAACATCTCATGTAAATGAATCTCTTTCAATTTACTATTAATATTAAAAATATTAAAAACTTAAAAACTATTAATTTTTAATTAGTTTATTCCATGTTATTATAAAACTATATCACTATTAATTTAATATAATTTCGATACGTACAACTTACTATTAAATGAATATAGTAATTTTACATAAGTTTATTAAAATATAACATAGTAAATCTCATAAAACATAGTAAATCTCTAGATTAAAAAACCGAATAAAGATAGTAAAAAATAAGATACTTTTATGTGTCTATTATATGTTACAATAATCTAAGAAATATTATACTTCCTTTGAAATGTCAGTAAAAATAAAAAAAACTTATAAATAACGCGTTTACATTGCAACAATGCTATAGTGGCACGCGACTATTCAATTACAGCGCGGTTAATGTTAATGTATTTTATGAGAAATGATACCACAGCGAAAACATGACAATTATAGCAAGCCACAAATACACATCGGAGAAGCGCTACCGGAGGCAACACCAACAAGCTGCGGGGGATTACGAAGGACATTCGGAAATGGGCGCGTGCTTCGTGCTTCGACGCAAGTCAAAGCCTTGGAAAGACCCTTCTTCCCTTTTTTTACTTCATGGGCTTTGTATTTCCCTTTAACATCGACTCTATGGTCACGTGTACACGTTCAAGTCCATTTAATATTAACTGTTCACTGTAGAACAATACTATGTTTGGTAGTTTATAAAAAGATACGAGTCATTGAAGAGTTTGTATGCAAAAATAACCATCTTAAGTGTTTTGGTGAATAACGTTAAAAAAATTCTTTTTAAATTAATAAAATCTAAATTCCGGTTATACATTAAAATTAATTATAATCTATTGATAATTCCGTAATCAATTTTAATTAGAAATAAATCTTATTTCGTATTTACACAAATCGTTCTTCACAACATTCTTTCATACATATATATAAACAAGTTACTTCAATTACTTTGTTTTATGTATATGTATATGTATATTTTGTTTATATATATAAATAAGTTACTTCAATTATTGACAATTAATATTATGCAGGTGGTGCTTTCGATACTATTCTCAGTAATAGCAGAATTTCATATACACAAAATATTAATAATCCATATCTTCCATATCGAACTTTCCATATCAAAAGTTTTTGTAACCATTCGTTAAACCATTAAATATTACTGCAGTTGATAAAATTTTCTTTATTACAATACGTATTTAATGAAGCTGTTTAAGATTTTGAAGAAATTATCATAATCCATTATAAATAATAATATAATAAAAAATATTTTCTGTTTATTATTTTAAACATAAAATTATGAAAAAATATATTAAAAAATATTTATGAGAATGAATAAAATTATAATTATAACTGTAAGTCTTCATTACTGTATGATATTTGAACAAGTACGAATTAAAAATTAATTTATATTAAAAGGAGGTATAATCTTATTTAACTTATTCAAAATTTGACGCTTGTATTTAAAGCAATATTATAATTATACTTATATTATGATCATTATACTTATGGTCAATAATTGAAAAGAATTAAAATATTATTCGAAACGATATTCCAAAAATTCAATATAATAGGCAATGCAAATAAAAGAAGATTGTTAGTAACATTACCTTATCGGAGCGTTTTTTAATCGGCAACAAGGAGACATTGGGTCGAATTGGAAGATCGGTCTCTGAAGCCATTCGGTTAAAGCGCTGCATTCTCTCGCGCACACTCAACTGTTCCGCCGAAGTCAGATGATTCATAGGTAAGAACGAAGTCACCTCATGTTCCTATATTTTAAAATGTTCACGACTACAATGTTTTAGTGCAAATATACATAATGAAAAAAAGAGAGACACAGAGAGAGAGAGAGAGAGAGAGAGAGAGAGAGAGAGAGAGAGAGAGAGAGAGTCCAACAAGAATAAGTAAATTATAGTAAAGATATGGAAGGAAAAGACTAATCATGACGAAAATTTGAATATACCAGAGATGAACAACAAATTCTCTATCGACGATATGCTAAATAATGGAGTTGATAATTGTGCAATTATGAAAGGAACAAATTGAACGCTAAATATCCATATTTAGATGTGCATATACAAATTTAAATAACATAAACATTTACAAATTATATATTATTTTATTAACTTTAATTTTAAATAGTTTTTGGATTCTATACTATTTTTCATTAAAAGTTACAAAGCTTATTAAATTATTATATTCTTGATAATTGGATTGTTAGAAATTTTCTTGTTACATTTCTTGGTACATATAGTGTTATTAATGTATATCAACTAAAAAAATTATTTGATATTCTATGTTTATAAAAACATTTAGAAAATGTATTTACATTTTTACTTATTGTTAAATAATAGTTATATATGAGGCAGTTATAAATGATCAATAAAAAATAATTTCTTATTTAATAATAAATGTTTAGATTTCATAATATTTTCATTGTAGTAAATTTTTGTTAATTGAGATTATAACTAGAAATAATAAAAATATTTGTATAGTTATTTATTAATCCTAATCCATTAAACAAATTAATTTTAAAAATGAAAAAGTTAAAAGTTTAAATTAATACAAATATGCAGATCTAGAATAACAATTAAGCAAAATTAAGAAAGGAAGTTTTACATATCAACTTAACACACTATTTACAATCATAAATATCACCCATTATATGTAATTACACCAATTTAATTATAAAAAAGTATTGTTATATAAATTAAACATTTATTACAGGTAATTAGGTGAGTAAATATAAAATTTGTAAATATAATTAAAAATTATAAATATACAGAAACTATATTTAACAATAATTCGTTTATTCAATATTTATAAAGTATCTATTATTTAAAATCAATGTAGGTATTTATTTTGTATACATTCTTTTTATACAATTATTTTTAAACGTTTTATAACTAAGCATTAAATTATTAAAATAGAGCAGTTGTCTTATCCCTTATGCATATAAAATTAAAATTTTTATTTTTAAAATAATATACACGTGCATGTTTGTATTAAAAAACATTAAAGTGAAAAATTAAATAAATGTTCTTTATTTTATAAACTTTAAATACTAACCTTAATTGTTTCAGGTTCAAGTTTTCCTTTATCCAATGTTTGATTTTCTTTATTTGATAATTTAATTTTATCCTGACTCTTGCGTCTAGGTGGTACTGGTGGAGATATAGTAAAACTAGTTGCATTCCCATCAATTTTTGAAATTCTCGTAGGTTTAGTTGACACATTCTTATTAATAACAGATTCAGGGATAGATATGCTATAATTTTCATGAAGTCCTAAAGCAGTAATTTCAGTATTGGATAATACAATACTTTCTATAGCAGGTAAACCTACTGATAATTCTGTAGAAGATTCTTGTGGAAATCGATGAACCAATGAGACAAAATTTCGAGAAGAAGTAAGAGGTGATGTTGGTGAAGATTTATAGAGTGCAGGTTCTTTTAGGAAAGATAGTTCAGAAGTGCGTTGTGGCGATGTAGTAAATGAGGAAAAATTTAATGTAGGTGATGATAAATCTAAAGTTGGTTGGCGAAATTTCTTTCTTAATATAAGATATTTTTCTCCCTATAACAAAAATAAGCATTACTTTATGATCATTTGTACTTATATTTAAATTAAAAATATAAACAATTTTGATAGGAATCGAAACACTACCCAGATATTAATTCAATTTATTAATTTTGTATATTCATTTAAAAAACTTTACTTAATATATGTGATAATTATACATAGCAACAACAATATTCATTTTATCTGTATATATAATTATCTACACACATACCCTTAATACACTTCATTCATATTTAAAAATAGCCAAGCTTAAAAACATTTAAATAATTTAATATTAGAAAATCTATTTTAACAATCATAAATGCAAATGGATTGGCACTTGTATTAAATTCGTAAGCAAATTATACATTTAAACAATATTAGAAAATAATAAATCAAACGGTCTTATAACACTTGCATTCAACCTAAAACCGAAAGAGGCCATTTAACTCAAAATAAAAGTGCTTTTATTATTGATAATAATTTAAACCGGCATTAATAACACATGTACATAAGTACAACAAAAAAACCAACAGCAACGTAAATGCGGCAACAGCGCAGTAGAACCGTCTCAAGCATGCAACAAGTCGTTTCCTCTCCTTTTAGCACAAAGGAAAACAAACTTTACACTATGCACAAAGAAGCAAATGTAACATACCTCGTCAGACTTAATGGTTGCCAACGTGTTAATGTATTCTTTGAAACGGTTGCGTGCTTCCACTGTAAATAAAAAATTAATTCCAAATTATGTCACACACAAAATATTTTGTGGCAGTTCAAAAAATTACAGAACATTGGAAGACGACGAAAATAATTCTCGTAAAATATGTGAAAAAATGGCTTAAAGAATACTCACCCCGTGTTTCCGGATCCGTGAGAAACTTTTTAAAATGCATTACTACATCCTGATTGAGAGCTGATCCACCGTTATCCAACAAATACTTGCGGATCTCTTCCAGAGACAACTCGCTAGGCGACGCCATTACAAACTGACTAACCTCATTCCCGTCGACTCACGATATCATAAGCTGTGTCACTACTGCTATACGTAACAGTAGCAGAAACAATTTTCAAGCAATATATACATATATTCATATGCTGATCTGAACTTTTTATTTCTCAATCATAGATTATGCGTGTCCTGTTTAACATATGGTCTATTCTTCATTCTGTATAATTTTTAAATTAAAAAAAATGATTTTTCATTATTTCTTTTCAAATATATGATTAAAAAACATGAGAATATATTACTAAACATACTTACATATATTTAGCAAATTACATAAGATCATTTATATTAACAAATATTTTAATTAACTTCATCATGAAATTTATTTAACCATGTAATTCATTATTTAATTTTGTACGGTTAATTTTTAAATGATAAAAATCTATTTTTAGATGTATTTTATTTGTGTTGATATATTTTTACCAAATTTTTTCATATGTTGTTTAATAAATGTATTACATGTATTATATTATTTAAAATGTTAGCACAATTAAATATATACATATCTGGAATTAGACATTAGACTTTGTTCCTATATAATTATAGAGATTCTTTTTATTTAATATGTAGTGTAGAAAGAAAATCCTATATGATAATTAGTTGAAAATACTAAATTGAGGATTTAATTTCGATAAAAATAAAAGAAAATTAGGGATTAAATATTAACATTTATATTTTTAACGAAAGTATTTTTGTTTAGTTAGATATATATTAATCTGTTAATTATAAATTTTGTAAACAATAATTCAATAATCCTATTTCTGTAAAAAAAGTTTATATTTTTTTTCAATTAAATATTAATTTGAGTAACAGTAAATTGAATAAATATAGATTTTGATGGTTAATAAAAATTGTTTAATTGATAATCGTAAAATCTAAATAAATATTGTATTCAAAATGGACTATAAGTAATTCATTTAATTACATATCAAAACATATTAATACTTTAATAATAATTTAATATATACATAAATACCAATTATAGCCTATTAGATACATTTAAAATAAACAAATAAATACCTTGTTTTCATTATA